TTGTGGGAGGATAGGATCTGCTAGTATTCATATTTTTGAAGTTGGGGAGCTAAAAACAACCTTTCCTCCCTCATTAATATCTCCTTTGCACTGTAACTTCACTGAAATAATCAGATAAAAACTCACAGCAACTAATAAAAGATATCAAGTAATACTTAATGGCTTGGAAAAAAAAACCAACAAAATTGAAGGTGTGAACACATACCTGATGGTCTCAAATTAATGACTACTCTTGTCCCACAGGAGATGAACACCCTGTCGAGCACGGCGTATCTGCTTTTATTCAGGTAAAGAATTAACAATTATAGATGTAAAATATGATTAACATAAATTATGTAAATTAAGATTTCCTGCTTGCCATTTAAAATCATGTCCGAATTACTTAAATATCTATTCTACACCTACAATAGGAGTATCAAACATGAGAAGTGTGTTTTAAGTTCAGACTTCAACTCTACATAGAAATACCCATTGTCAAACATCCGCCTTCATTTTCTTCACACGAGGGCTCTGACGTTTATTTTCTGGCAGTAACAGCCCAGCATTTCAGACAAGGCAAATCGATCTCGACCTGCCTCCTATTTCACATCCTTGTATCGGCTCCAAGGATTGAGAACTGACGCAGCAGTGGATCTCATGACTGCTTTCCATCAGGTTTGTTAAACTGACTGGCAATTAGGTCAGGCTTTGCAGGCAGCAAAAGATTTCTCAGACACAGTTCTTGGGAAATACAAGTTAGAAAAATGCCTTTTTTCAACTGAGTTTAACCCTTCCCATAACAATTTTGACTCTCAGTGCAGCCATTAATTTCTACTGCTTTCATCATCTGCTTGACTTTGAAGTTTACTGTTTTTCACTAATTATGAGGGAAGAAATGCAATGCACTCTCAAAAAACCATGTCCACATTGCCTAAAATGAACACCTCTAAAGCAGGCATTTTGCCCTGGTCCTGGCTAATGAGAGCAAAGTCTCGGTTTCCCAGCTGAGAGTGCTCTCTCTTTTAGTAACAGCATAAACCTGCATAAAGTTTAGAGCAAGGTCATTTGGTCACTTGGGTTTATGCAGGTCTTAAAGGGGGCCATCCTGCCAACAGGCTGAGCCAACACTACTGGAAGGATCCGTAAGGCTTACCTGCAGTTCCAGAAACGCTTTTACCATAACCGTTCCCCTCAAGGGAGCTTCGTACCAGAAACCTTATCCAAAAGTCATGTCATGACACGAGAGGCGTCATCCCTTGGTGAATGACTTCGCTGACATCCACGTCTCTTCTAAACAATTATTTTCTACCTTTTGTGCCACTTTCAAAACCTTTATCTGCAGTCGGTGACCCGGGCGGAATACTGCTGGGCTTAAGGGATGATGGACAGACGCATGGCAAGGTTTGAACATCAAAGCCATTGTGGTTTCATGTATCAGGGAATGGAAGTCAGGACTGGCTCCAATTTCTGGCTCCTGTACGGGCTTGCCCTGGGCACATCACTGCAGCACCACAGCCTGCCATCCACATCAGCCTAACAATCTGTACTCTTAGAGAAGAAGTGGAGATTCTTAACTCTGTGGGGATCAAGGATTAGTGTTAACCCAGCCGGACTCTGCTCTCAGTTGTAGAATCTGAACTCTGCTACAATGCAAGCAAATAGAAACATTTTCCTCCTGCTCCGCCCTGAGGTATGTTCTGAAGAGATGTGTCGTAGTGACTGCAGCTGCCCCAGCCCAGCTTTCTCTCTGGTTGCCTTACTAATGGTTCTCTGGTCCATTTTTTTCCAGGAAACCTCCCTTCACACACAAACCCACTTCCAGTGAAATGTGAGCCCAACAGTATTCGAGTAAGAGCTAAACTTCTGAACCTGTTCCATAGCGGCAGCCTTGAGCTTACAGAGTGCGTCTGCACAGAATGGAGTGCTCAGCACCAGCCTCAATCTTTATTTGTGGGTCAGACGTAATCAGAACCAAAACAACTTTCAGTTTTCGTTATGCTGTTATTCAAGCAGGGAGCTGTGAATCAAAGACAAAAGAAGTGAATTGCTGTCTCTTTTTTCCCAAGTTCTCTCTGATAAGCAATTTTCAGAGCATTGGCTTTCATGGTACATCCATGCACTGGTTGGATGTCACTTTTTTTACAATAGGAAGAATTAATTTAGATTTTACTGTTTGTGTGCAACTGTAGTCAAGAATCATTCTAAAAGAGCTTCCGTCGAGTAAATTACTTATATATCAGGGAATGTGCAGCTAAAACAAGTGTGAGAGGGTGCACAGGTACACACAGCTCAGCAGACCGATATTCTTTCCTGCTAAAAATTTAGATCCAGAATATAAGACTTGAAACATGTATAGACTTCACTGTTAGAAACAGCAGAAACAACCTGATTTGCTTGGTATCAACTGCAAGAAATTCAAACTTGCAAGTGTTGTAATGAGTACAACATGGTCCCCATTTCCCTAAGAGGAACTTTTTTTAAGCCTAAAATTGATACCTCACATTGTTGCCATTTAAAATGTCTTCTTGCTGATTCCAGCATGTAAAATTAGAGGAACGCTGCTGAACGTGTTACAGGGAGCAAAGTCTGCCTTACCATCGGCTTCTTGCTTTTGCCAAGAAGCTGAAGTAGAGCAGCAGATGTTGCTAACAGTATGAATCCAGACAGAAAATTCTCCCTTGAACAGCAGCTATGCCTGGTGTAATCTGTGACTTGTGTTGTGAGTGAGGAACTGGGAGAGAAAGTCAAATAAAACATGTTCAATCAAAGCAAGATGCTGAAGGTGACAAAAAAGAAAAAAAAAAACCTTCCAGAATTTTCTAACTACAAGATGAATCATATGAATACACCCTACTAAGGGAAAAAAGATTGATGCAGCAAGGACCACAGCAAATGTCTGTAAGATCTGACAATCATCATACAAGAAATAGTTACAGGAAAGAAAAGGCAGTCTAAATTCTTTATTGCCTTTCTATTTAATGCAGAGATGGGAGAGACTGCAGCAGACAGGCAGCGAGTCAGAGATGGTAAAGCTAATTTAAGAAATTAATTTCTCCTTTCCTGCGATCTTCTCCTAAAATGTACTGGGTATTGCTTCACCAAACATTTGGGATAAGGTGTTTGTGCTGAAGGAGTGTAGAAGCTGGATATTGACAGAACAGATCACTTTATCTAGCCACAGAAATGCCTTTGTCTCTTTACAGATAGCCAGTTGTGAGCAAGGACAAACATGAACTGCAAGCCAACAGTTCTGACTTCACTGTGGCATGACAGCTTCATTTTCATGATGGGATTCCACAGAGTCTCTACTGTTGTAAAGAAGCACTAAACAAGTTCATGTCACCTGCCCTGACCAGCAGTAGACGTGTTCTGCAATTCGCAGCTGCACACTGATTTGACAGAGCAAGGTGAGGGTACTTTCAATTTCCAGAGCTCCTATAAAGAGACACATATTACTTTTGTAAAAGAGGATTAAATCTGCTGGTAGAATAAAGGAATCCAGGTCACCTATGCCTGCTTAAACCATATCCTTCCTCTTGCAGCCCACAGTCTTTTATGTTCCTCACAAGAAAATCATACATAAGCCACAGGAGACTTTCCTCTTAAGTAAGGTGACTGCCAGTGAGTGACCTAATGGTGAAATTCAGGATTATTTTGATTATGTTGCAATAGAAGTAGAGTTCTTTTACATAACCTTTCAGTCTGCAGTGCTGTGGTTAGGTCCTCTATTAATAGCGCTGTCAGAAATGTGTGCTCATGCCTGAATTGACTCAGGTACAGAAAGTTGAGTGAATTTAGTGCTGGCTTAACTGACATTGTGAACAGAGCCTACCTTTATTCCTGAAACAGAAATACCACCCGGAATAGTGTCACTTCCCATCAACACGCCTGAATTCCAATCTGGGTGACTGTCTCTTAGCATATCAAGTTTACAAAACGAACTTGCACATGATCGCTTTCTATGTTTAAATATGTAGGTTGCTTTATAAGATGGAGTGAGCCTGACCGAAGCAATAACAAAATATAAACAACAACAACATAAAAAAAACATTTGGGAATCAGTTAACCTGCAAAGGGAAAGACTTTCACCAAGACTTCCTTTGGCGAAGAACACCATTTATAAGATGAATTTCAGTAACAGCAGTGCATGCTGTGGGATGTCTTCTGTCATCCTCGTTTAATCATCGAAGAGGACACAGATTTAATCAGAATCACCAGAATGTCTGAGAATGGTATTGTGATTAATTGTTGGACTACAGTAATGAAATGCTCGGACTGTAACAGGAATTACAACAGGGGAGAAGACCTCAGCATTGCTCGTAAAGCAGCTCGTCTATCCTGGGTTTCTTGCTCTCGTTGCAAAGCCAAGTTTGATGTTCACATACAAATTCCTCGTGGTAGAAGACAATGAAGAAGGTTACTTTCGTGAAAAACATCTTGGCAGAACCGTGCAGGATAAATCCTTTGTAGCAGCCCCTTGCAACAGAGCAGGGAGTTACCTAATTTCTCTAGTTGATAATAACTGCTCACCTACAGAAACTGCATTTTTGTAACAACTAAGTCGTAAAATCAGAGACTCCAGCGGGGGGACGCCTTTACCCACAGCGCCAGGAGGCCATTCGCTGAGGCGACGTTCAGCCTCCCGCCTGGCGCTGCCCTCCGGCCCGCGCAGAGCCCCACATTACCGCAATCCCGCGCACACTGCAGCGAGCGGCTTTCCAGCAGCCAGCACCGCTTCCCTTAGCCAAGTAATAACCACGGCTCCTCTGGGCGTGGGAGATGGCTTCGAGGGAGGACAAAACGCTGTTTTTGTCTGTGTGTCAGAGCAGCCTTAGTATCACCAAGGTTGGAAAAGAGCACTAAGCTCATCCAACGCGACTCGTGCGGTGCCACAACTGAGGAAAGCCGTGAGGTAACTGAAGGAAGCTGACGGCTGCTGCCCTCAGGAGACCCACTGCCCTCAGCGAGGCGGCAAGCCGAAACTTGACCTCCTCAAGATGGCGGCCTGGCCTCGCCTCACCCCGCCTCCCCACCTCGCTGCCACTCCTAAAATGGCGGCGCGGAAGGGCCCGTGGCTGCCCGGAGTGCGCCTGCGCACAGCGGAGCGGAGTGCAGTGAAATTCCTGGCGGGCGGGGGGAGGAGGAGGTGGCGGCGAGGAGGAGGGCGGCACGGAGCCACGGCCGCGCGCCCCTGGCAGGGACCCTGCGTGCTGTGGCGGCGGGCGCGGTGCGGGCGGGCTGAGGGCCACTCGCCGCCGCCTCGGGCGCTGGGAGCACCGGGAGCCGCGCCGTCCTCGGGACTCGCTCCGCAGGCAGAAAGGGGGAGAATGACGGAGCTCCAGTCCGCCTTGTTACTGCGGAGACAGCTAGCAGGTAGCCGCGGCTGGAGCCCGGCGGGGGGGCCGCGAGGAGACTGGAGAGCGGCTCCGAGGGGAGGACGGGGCCTGCGGTAGAGGAGGGGGGGCCCGGCTGGGGAGGGGGCGGACGGGCGGCGGCGGCCGTGAGGAGAAGGGGAGGCGGCGGCCCTCAGTGCCCGGCCCGGGGCTGAGGGAACTAGGCCGAGGGGGGGGAGGGGGAGCGTGGCAGCGCGGCCGGGGGGAGGGGACGGGAGAGGAGGGGAGCGGGGCCGGCACGGCGCGGTGGGAGATTTGCGGGGCTCCGCGCTTCCTCCGCTGCGCCCGTCCCGGCGGCGGCCCCGCTCCCCCCGCCCCGTTCGGCCCGTGTTCCTCGCGGGGCCTCGGCGTGGGGGCGCGGGCAGGGAGGGCCGCGCGGTGTTGTCAGAGGCGGAGGAGGCAGCCCTGGGGCGGTTAGATAGATACGTACATATATATATTTATTTATTTTTTTCTTCAGTTTTTATTATCCGCCCCCTGCGTCCAGAAGCGGTGCCTCAGGGCTCAGCTCTCCTCAACGCGGGGACCTGAGTTGCCCCCGTCCCGCTCCGTGCCCGTGAGGAAGGGCCGCCGCCGCCTTTGTTGCGAGCGCGGCCCCGCGGCGGGGCGAGGAGCGGGACGGGGGGCGGCGGGGCGGCGACCCCTCCCTTTGTCCCGGGCGGCCCCGCGCTGCCTCTCTGTGCCCGGGCTGCGGCCGCGGAGGGGACCTGGGTCGGCCCGGCGGCGCTGCGCATGCGCGGGGCGGCGGGGCGCACAATGCAGCTCCGTGTGTCGCTCGCTGCCAGATTTAAAGAGACACGGAGCCGGCGGCGCCGGGCGGGGGCCCAGCGCGCCCTCCCCCACCGTACGTGTGCTCCGCGCCGCCCGCGTGGCCGCCCCTGAGCGCTGCCGGCACCTCGGGCAGCTCCGCTGGCTGCTCTGCGCCTTACGTAAAACTGCGTTGCTCCATACCCAGATAAGGAAATGAGCGCTAGGTGTACCTAAAGCCGGGCAAATAGAGCCCTGGCTGCGCTTCGGAGGGACGGGTCGCAGCCGCACCGGGTTCCTGCCGGAGTGTTGCGGCCTCCCGTGGCTTTTGGGCGCGGTGGGGACGGCGGGGCTCCGCTCGCGGCGAAGTTGCATAACAGAGTGCGGGAGCTGCATGGCGCCGAGGCTTGGCCAACCGCTGGTGCGGGGTGGGTTTAAACCTCTTGAAGGTGACTTTTTAAAATAAAAACGGATTTACTACACGCGGTGTGCTCGTGTTGAGGAGTGCCTTAATGGCTGCTGGGGTTACTGTCATCTGATGGAGCATCTGCTTGTTCAGATAGACTGTTACCATTATGTATAGGCTTAAACCAGGAGCTCCAGAAGTTCTCACTACTGCAACAACTCTTCTGTAAGTGATTACAATGGGAAGGAGATGGTGTTGAAGTTGCTCTGTAGCTTCATAAATATGAGCATTTAGTAACCTGAGACAGTCTGGAATTTCTCTGTTAACAAAATAATTGCACACAATGAAAGAAAGTTACTAACTTCAGCAAAGTGTCAGAAAGACCCACAAGAAACACTTTCTGACTCTCTGTGGTACGTTTGGTAAGTGAGTGTTAGCTGCTGGTTCTGTAGTTTTTACTTTATGATCTGTTCTCTGAGTGCAGGCTGGATGTGTTGGTGGACTTGTAGGCTCTCAGACAGAAGTTAAGCCCTCAGTCTTTGTGCTCGCTCTCTTCTGAAAGCTTCACGTGCTGTGGTGAAACCAGTAAGCTGTTCCAGTTGCCTTATTACTGATACTGAGTCAACTGTGCTGACTCAAGTGCTGCGGCCATTTGCATGTAATGTGCAGCCCCTTCGTGAGGCCTTTGGGTTTTAGGTGGTATCAGTACTCTTTTTTTACATAGAAATATTAAAAATATGCACTTATTCATATACATGTGTACATAAATTATACGAAAATGAGCATATACTTTTATATAATTTTTGTTTTCACGTGCATAGAAAGTGTTTGAGTGTACACAAGTGTGTGGTGAGTCTCAAATTCTTCAGAAGCTCAGCCTGGTGTAGTTACTGACCTGAAAAGGAAAATATGCTGTTTCTTCCATATTTGATAATCTCTGCTGAATCTGAACAGAGCTGAAGCGAGGCTCTAACTGCTTTTTCTAATGGCAGGCTGCTTGAAGGTGCAGTGCACAGACTGAGCTTTGTGAAGTCTGACCTCCCTCCTCCCTACTGCTGTCTTCTCCCAACTCTCAGCTGTTCCAGTATATCTCATTAAACCCACACTGCTTTTTCTGCCTCAAAACAAAACCCAATGCTAAGTTTCTTTCTTACTGAATGGGACTGATATTTCAGTCCCAGTGCTACATGCAGCTTTGGGTTATGTGTCGAGTGTGGTGAGTGCTCGGGTTGTGCTTAGTGGTTGGGTTTTGGAGGTCAGTAAACTGGCAGTGGACGTGAGTTATGTCATCTGAACTCATTTAAACTGGTCGAAGTCACTCCTTTATCAAGGCAGTGTTGCTCAAACCATGAGAGATCTGGAGTCAGGGCTGTTTGGTGTGGAGGAAGGATAACTGAGCCTGAAGCCCTTATGGTTGTTGAGGAATATGGGGTGTCTTTAATGTGTGATGAGACCCTGGGTAGTTACTCTTTCCTAAGGGGGGGGGAGAAAGAATGATGAGGAGGGAAGCTGAAAGTCTTCAGAATGTTGCTTTTCTTATCTAAAAACATGCTTTGCTTTTTAATAAAGGCATTATGGGGAAAATAGGAAAATTGTCTACAGCAAGTAGCACTTGTGATGGGTTCTTTCAATTTTTAAATGCTGTTAAAGTGAAGATGGAACAGTGACAATTTTTGTCAGTGGGACTCAAGATCAGTGGTTTTATCAGGGTAAATTGAGGAAAACCTGACAGCATAGTCCTGAATTTTTCCACTCAGCGTGTGAAGGCTGGTAACACGAGCAGGGAGCTGGGCTGCAGCACTGCCTATGCAACGTGCTTGTCTTCTTAAGCAGCGTGTTCTGGATGCTGATAATGCTCTAAGAAGGGCTATTTAGTGGCAGTCACAAAATAAATGTCAGGTTAGATGTCTTGTGGTGTGGGTGTTTTTGTTGGTGGTTTTTTTTAATACTAAGTAGGGTCAGTGTCTGCAGATGGAATAGTGATCCATATTGCCACAGGGCTGATATAATAACTGGCTTTGTATCTACCTGTGCTTTTCCCCACCAAGGCACGAGGGCAGTTCACGTCAGTGTAGTCAGCATGTGGATTAGGTTGGCTGGTTGTTTTTCTTCAGAGTGTTTTAAAGGAAATTCTGAGTGGAGGTCTCCAACTACCGAGGGCAGTGCTGGCACTGAGAGTGGAGGCCTAGAGCTGAAGGGAGGCCCTCCTGCGTGGCTATCAGTAAAGCCAAATGGTTGCTTTTCAAATCAACCTGCCTGTAAGCTCTAGCAGCTTCTGCAATTACTTGTAATGTAGAGAAGGTATCTCTTCATACAGGGTGTTTGATTGGTTTTTGTTTTATTGTTATTTGTGGTGTGAGGATTTTTTCCTTTTTTTTTTTTTTTTTTTTTTTCCCTTAAAAAATGCATTTGGGTAATTGAGAAATGAAGTCTGTAGCCCCTGCCCAGTTCTTCTTATGGGTAGGAGGCAAAAAAAGGTAAATGAACTCCCTCTCAACTTCCAAGGAGTGGAAAAACCCCAACGGTATCAAATGTGTAGCCTGGGTCAGCAGAGCTCAGGCACCAGGAGGGGGTGTGGGGACCTGTGTGGGTAAAATGCATTCTACCTGCAGCCTAAGAACTTTGTGTTCTTTAAAAACAGAGATTGGAGCAACTTCTTCTGGCCTCCAGAGCTGTCAAGCCTAGGGGTTTTGAAGGCTGAGGCATTTCTCTAAATGCTTTTATTTAATCTTTCTGCCAAATCCTTCTTGACACAGACTTGTTAGGGTGGGCAGACTTGTCTAGTTCATCCAGCAACATCATATAGGGAGGATGTAGTTAAATCACAGCACACCGTGGAACCAGAAGTGCGAGTCATCTCTGACATAAACGTGGCTCACTGAGAACGGGAATAACTGAGCCCTGCTTGGCTGGAGCTCTGCTGTGTTGTAAGTATTCTCCAACTCAGGATACCAGAAAACCCCGCTTACCAACTTTCAAACACGGGAAATGCAGCGTTATGTCAAGTTAAATGTACGTAAATTATTTCCAATGAAAAATGTCTAGTTAAAAGTTAACGAGTTGGAAATCCATTAAAAACTTAATATGACAGTTCTATAGTTTTTACTGGTGTGGAAGAAATCTTGTATAATGCGAGCTAGCTGAATTTCTGGCAGCTACACAGGGTTTCCTTTAAAAATATTTGGTTAGTAAATGCTGAGAGAACTATGGCATTAAGATCAGTTGATAGATTGAAGTTGAGATGGCCTATCTCTTGGCTGGCTGGCTGTAGAAGGAAGCCTTTGTTTACAGCTGAATACTGCTGTTTTCTGCCTTAGAGTAGGTTTGTCTACAAGATGATATCACTGGAGTGGTACTGAATTGAAGCATTAAGCTGATGCAGGCCTTCCTGTTAGCTTCCTTGGAGAGGTGTGTTTTTATGAGGAGCGATAATCTCTATTACCATACATAGTTAAGATTACAAGGTCCTACACGTATAAAATTTGAGTATCACTGAAGTGCTATGAAAGCCCTACTTTTTTTCAGAAAAAGGTTTTCCATCTCTGTAAGGATCAGCTTTCATTACTGCCATGCTTTTTTGGAACACTTGGCTGTAACACGTGCACCAATTACATATAAGTTAACACTTGCAGTGTAGGCTCCCACCCTCTATAGCAGATGAGTTAATCCTGCTCTCTTGTAAGAGTGTGGCAGAGCCATCGCAGCTGCCTTGCTCACGGTGACCTCAGGCCGCTCGTGCTGTTCTGACTCTGGTCACTGTGAACTGCTGTTGCAGTGCAATGGACACGATTTGTGGTTGCCTTTGCTAGCTGTGTGTGTTAGCTTTT